TATTGTCCACAAGAGTAATTACTTATTTTCCACATACACGTCCGTAAATAATTTTTAGGTTAAGGTAGGCTATGGAAATATTTTTCATTTCTTTGATAAAACCGAGGCGTACAAATGTCAATGTCAACAAATTGAAAATGTCCATTAATTTTGCGTGAATTACGAGAGTACGCCTCTACCAATAAAGGGGTTTTGCTCCAAAATGTATAAGTTGGAAACTAAACTCATTCGAAATTTAATTTGACAAGTCTGAACGCTAAGGTTTAATCAAAGAAAAAAAAATATTTGGATTGCCCATCCTAATCTGAAAACTTTTTGATAACCCGTTACTGGAGAATTTGTTTTAAAATTGTTTCATTTAATGTTATGCTTATGTTATGTTGTGTTTTATTTTTGGTTATGTAAATATTTCATTCCTTTAAAAATCTTTCTACAAACATTTGCCCAATTTTTTTTTTTTTTTTCATATTTAGTGTGTGTAGGCCCCGACTAGAAATTTAAACAAATATTCTCAAACACAATTTTTAATTCCTGAACGTTATTTGTTACGTCAAAATGACAGCTACCGTTATTTCTACTACTGTAAACGTTTCACGTCAATTCCAATATTTTGGCATTTCCAGGCCGGCTGAAGCCGTGGTAACTCTCATACTCACATCTCCCTGCCACCCCGATCAGCCGCCACTGGTTATAGTAAGTTGTGTGAAGAGGTTTTGTTTGGGTAATTCGGTCGGGGACCTAATCTTGTGGCAGCTGACGAGCCGTTTATTTTTATGGCTCGTTTAGGTGGTATTTAAGTGGGTAAACGCAGTATACAGTGTGTGTACAGAGATAAACATGTACGCGCCAAGTAATTACCGACACCTTTAAATAAACAGTGTCGTCCAAGCGCTGGGCAAATATTGGGTTTGTTTGCTGGTTGCGGAAGCCCAGCCGTTTTAATATACGATCCAAGACTTGTCGTGATCCGACGGTAAACGCACTCCGAACCATAAACTTTTACGCACGCTTATCACGTATGCGTAATAACGCTTTCATTATCTATCGTCGGATCGATAAATTGGCTACCGTCCTCAGCCCGGTCCTGAAGAGCCGATCGATATTTCCGCGATATATGATTATTTGACATGTGGCGTTTTCTGCACTAGTGTTGCTCAAAATGTTTACATCTATTCGCTCGTTAAGTATAAGATAATGACGTAATTTTATAGTTATTGTTGTTTAGGTATTTTTACTACCAATTTATTTCTTCATTTTGACGAAAACTTTCATTATGTGAAGAAGTTTTACGACTGCTGTACGTTTACGAGACGCACTGCTGCGGAGAAGACAGGGGCGGATTTCGGCAAATGCAGTCCCGATCGAGAAGCGTGACGTGATTTGTTCATGGAGCTTCTACTAAAAACTACTCGGGTGTATAATCAAACACGTTAAAAATAAACCAGCTTACTAATCACAAACAACTGTTGGTATACACTGTTATCTGCTATTATTCTTGAGGTGCTGATAAGAGATGAATAAGACAAGTACTTTGTAGTTGCGGTATATGCCTATATGGCTCATATTTAGCATGTTAAATAGTGGAGAGAATGAGAAGAGATAAAACCACTTAGATCTCCGTTTCGCCAAGAGTGTTATGGATGCATATTTTTCTAATTAATTAAATGCTGTATAAAGTCAGCTGTTTATTGTTTTAAGTTTAATTATTTCCTTCTTTTCTGCTCACCAAGTACTGAATTCTGTAGAGTAAAAATTGCAACAAGACATAAAATCCAAGTATAATAAATTACAAAATATGAGGTCTAGTTGCCACCTTGATTTATGGTAAGGGACTAAACAAAATTAGCGCTCTACTTCCTAGAAAATTGCACTCTTACATCTTCTAAATTCTTGTTGTTGCTTGTTATTAAACAAAGCGCACCGAATGTATAGTTTCGGAGTGCCTCAGGTGAATCCAAGAATAAGGCAGCTAATAGAAAAAGAATTCGAAATTGCCCTCGTTGAAAAATAAAAAATACAATGAAATTTCATGAATTTTATAATCATTAATAACTTTTTTATTATGCATGGTATCATAATGAAATTCGGTACTATTATGTAAAATGACCTGAGGAATCCAAATATGCTAATAGAATTTCTTACGCCTACCCACTCCATAATAGAAGTGGTGAAGGTTTAGTGTAGTGGGTGCCATATTGTTTTTTTACATTATCGATTCTATTACAAAAACTGGAGTAGAATGCTATGTCAGTCACCTATCTTTTTCTCTCGTCCACATATTCTTAGTATCTCTTGTTAAAAGTGGGTGGGCGTACACGAACACTACTTTACATATTCTAATTCTGATGGTTGCTTTACCCGAGGATACGAATTTTTTTGTTAATGATATGGTGAAATAAAACAACACGGGAATGAGAGACGTGGTTACCAAGATGGCGTTTTGTAGGAACATCGGGTGTAACATTTCAGTGAAAAAAAACTGATACATTTGTGATGCATCAGTGTCAAATTTGATTGACTAAATGTAAATTGATCCCTATATACCATTACTGGTAGTATTGAAATTCAATGAGCAAATCACTACTGGCTAAAATTTGTCACATTACTAGTTGTTTGAATTTGTAATTTCTACGGTTCATCAATCATACACCAGTTACCGTGTTGTGTAAAATTCATCAGCATATCGAAAATTTCAAAATTGAGATTGTTTGTTGTTGGAACCGAACTACAGATGGCTACGACTGGCGTTTTCTCTCCCAACTAAAATCGAAGACATGTTTTCTTAAAATATTTATTTAACCGAGAAAGAGTGCAAACAACACTCCTAGTTACCGAAGCACGTTATTTTAATAATGAAGCCATGGTCTTTGATAGTTTCTCTTGAAATAAAAATGCAAACTAAACCACTTTTACAAAAAGAGTTCCACAGACATTTGGTGTTTATAGAAACACTACCATTTTCAAAAAAATCGGGTGCATTAGTAATAATTAAGTGACACTAAAGAGGATTAATTAAAAAAAACTTGTTAAGCAACAAATGAATGTAAGCAATTACGATTCATTAAACAAGTTCAAATAATGAAAAAATCATAGCTTAAACAGAAATAAGTGTCGGGATTGTCGCAACGACGTCAATGAATTTTTTACCTAAACGTTATCATTATATGCCAACTATAACTGAATAAATTACATTGATAATTGTTAAAATAAAAATACTGGACATAATTCAAATTTCCATACCGCTCTATGTTTGTAGCTTGATGAATGCTTGCAAAGAGCAACATATTTTTCGCTGTTGTTGGTGATAGCATAATCTTAATGGTTAGTAGATAATAATAATAGTTTTCTTTTAGCGTAAATTTGTGTATAACACAGTATGCTAACCTTTTTGAAGAACATGTCTATCCGACAACCATTAGTAACATTCGGCAATTTTAAGTAATCCGAGGCAGATGGGCGTGTCGTTTTAATAGCTGTTGGATCCATCTAACTAATTGTATTTTGCTGTATAATTTTGGAACATTCAGAGTTATCATTTGGACGTTGGAAAATAGACAGGTAATGGAATTTATTAAAGAAAAGTATGTTATATGTTATGTCCAACTATGTACACTTTTAATTAGGAATCATAGGATGGTTGGGAGCTAATTATTATGTGGTCATTTTGTAATTTGTACACAAAATAAACCGTTTTTTATTCCAAGGTTCATATACATAAAACTTGTAACTTATTTAAATGTTCTAGTGTAGAATTATATGAATAAATATTACTAACACAGCGATTTGGCAACGTCACCAAAAGGGACAAAATGAAAAACAAAATAAACAATCAGGATAACTACTTTTGAAAATTTTAAAACTAGCCCTTTCTAAACAATTCTCGGTTCGATGATAGTATTTTTAAAAAACGACATTTTGCTTGTTATTCGACTAACATCATTTATTTGTTGGCATTATAAAACCATTAACAGTGTGGATATAGGGTTATGGTTCCTCAAAACTGAACGTGCATGTTTAAAACTAATCAAATAAATATTATATTGGTGTCTTTCGACATGCTGGCAGCAAAACAAATAAAAAAACTTAATCTGGATTTAGCTTTTGACTACAGATCATAAATTACAACATCGAATCGATAATATGTGGTATGAACTTAAGAAAGCAGATCTTTCTAAAACAAACTGTAGATAATTGGAACATTAATATATGCCTTTAGTGTTCTTCCCCAATCTAAAAATTTATTTTAAAACTTGAATAGAGCATGGGAGTAATTTATGGGACTGTTATCACAATACAGTAAGTTTGCAATTATTGTACACCTACAGCTTTACAGTTATTGGAATCGACAATTATAAAATTATATCGCATCTGCATCCAGACGATTATAATAGAGCAATAAACTTTTATTTATTTGTCATTTTGATTTAATAAAATACACAAAATCCTAATTTCAAGTTTTCAGTTAAACGTATGCATAGCAATTTCTAAGTCTTAAAAAATGTTCAATTTGTTCGTTTAATGAACACAAAATCAGATATGCTTTCACGCTAGGTTGCGTTAGGTGAAATAAATATTATAATGATGTTTTTAATGACACAAAAAGAGCGCCTATGCAACCAACAATACACATAATTTTAGGGTAAAATAAGTAATCTTAAAAGAAATCTTTACAAAAATCTAACACAAATTCCACAAATTATATACTCTCACACCGCTTTTCGCCCCATTCTAGTACAAAAAAATTCTGTCTACAACTCCAAATATTTTTCTTTGTCGAGATTCTGCCAACGAGTTATGCTTAATCATCCCACCTATTTCTACCGCATCCTAATTTTTCCCGATTGCGGTTATGCCATCTGGCGGTGTTTCGTCAACAAACTAATAAACACAACAAAGCCTCATCACGTTAGCGGTTTTGAGCAATTTCCGTCTTTCGAGAAGCACTTGGAGGTTTGTTAAGGCGCGTTCCCACTGGCCGGTGTGAAGGAAAGTAGACTTACCCGTAGATGGCGTCCTTGTCTCTCTTGCCGACGTCCGGCACCCCTCCACCCATGACGTGGTTGGCGGCTGGGTTGACATGGTTCGCATGGTACGGATGCATGGCATGGTTCAAGTGGGGTGAATGATGAAGTCCTTGCAACCCCGGTCTGTGAGCCACGTGGGGTTCGTACAAACCCGCCCCAGCGCCGCCGTCCATGTAACCAGGGTGGATGCCGTCGTCATACTGTAACAAAAATCGCACGTTGAGTTGCGTGTTAGTGTGAACCGGACTTAAGCTATGGTCAATTAAGAGCTAGGCTGACTCTAATACAGCAACGATTTTGACCAGACATAAATATTTATAGAATGTCATATTAAAAAGTTGTCCTCTCATAAACATTTCTGAATATTACAAACGACTCGAACGGAATTAATTAAAATTTTAAATTTATTAAACGTAAAATGTTAATATTCTACAACTAATGGAGTAAATGACTCACTAAATAGCTCGGATTTTTTCTTACGCTTACGAAGGAATCGGCTCGATTCATTGAAAGCGTCGCTAAGTTGAAAGTCTTGCTCGGGCGGAATGTTTTCATGGTACCGTCTGTACAAAATCTGTCAGAGTTCTAACCTAACATTTTCAAACGTCAAATTAGACTTTTATGGCTGCGCATTAAGGCCACGTTAAAACAGCACTTAACATTGAAACGCGCTTAAAATATTATGAAAATTGAGAATTTTATTTCAGCAAGCGAATGATGCCTCTATTAAATACACAAAATATATACAGTACGTCGCTGGAATAATAAGAAGCGGCACGGCTATTTTTAAATAATACCCACAGTGAACGTATCTAAAATGAATTTAAATTAATAAATTTGCAACAAATTGGTGTTTTACAAGGCGACTTGCAGACACCTAATTTATTTAAAGTGCAATAAATATGGGGGTTAAAACTGAATTACTGATGGGCTTCCGGTACCCCTATATGGGTGAGGGTTTCGACTTTAACGGCACATGCACCTATCTTCCTACAAATAATGGTTTAATTACCGACTTCTTAAAAATTTTAATTATACTGCGATAAAGCTGATTGAAAATACCTACGACACTAATTTTAAACTGGTTAGAATATTATCTTTACAGCGCAATAAATTCGCGCTACTATTCAATGTAGACTATTAAATCTGATGTTAATAAAATATTTATGCGAATCGGATCGAATAATAATAAAAGTCCTGTGGAGTGTGAATTGTAGTGCAAGGGCACGATCTAAGAACTCGAAGATCTATCCAGTATCCGCATTTTAACAAACTACTATTTTTAACAAAACCGGATTAAAAATATCATTCCCCCGTCGGCGATAATTTGCATAAATATGTCATTCGTCTAGAGCTTAAATTTTTAGGGAATCCGTTTTTTTCTACTCGAGCAACTATCTTAAATCTTACCAAGAAAAAATAGTCGCATCAATATCCCAAAATATCTAATCTATAGAGATAAGATTAAAATAATTTTTTAGTTAGTTTAAACCACACAATAAAGGCGGATTAACGGATTTCGATTGCTAATCTCACTATATAATTGTAACACCCGGAGATCCTACTGATTTTTATTAAACAACAATAACACAAACAAATTTTTTCAACATAACTGATTTAATGTGTTACACTGGCGGGAATTTCGAAACAATTCGATTGCCATTAGCGTTGGCACCTCACTGGCGATAACACCATTATCGTAATGATAATATGTTTCGTATGCACATACGTATAATGGTACTGATAAAACAGTCTCTACAACCTTAGCTGTTTAACTACAGGAAACGAGTCACGTAGAATTTTTGTTCTATAGGAGCAACTACATTTTTAGGCGCAGGAGTGAATAAAAATCATTTAATAAAATCATCTATGGAACAAACTGGTTCTAAAAGGAAACTGTAATTGGCAAGATAATTATCATATTCGAAACCGAAATTAATTTAATTTAATGATTTGCGGCGGATTGACGCGGTTAATTTCGACATAATTTCAACGCGCTTTTTGTCATTTTTTAAATTTATTTTCGGTCACCTAGGTGCAGATAAGAAATAATTAACTCTAATACCCGCCGTTTATGTGGGCTGACTTGTAATTGAATAATTTTTGATTTCTGCTAGTATCTTTAGTAATGGTAATAAAGATATCCTCCAAGTGGTCATAAATCAAAAATATTGTCTACAGTCTTATTACGTTTGCTGCATGTGCTTCGGTATTTTTAAAAGTGCCGTTTCATGTTCGGAAATTTCGAACGACGCGATACACAAACCCTAGTGCCATCAGAGGGATCTAAATTTCGAAAAACGTACACCGGTGTACCGTGAATTTAAAATTCATCTCGTACTATTTTATACTTAAAATGATTTATATCGTGTTTAAAAAATTATCTAGATTCATACAAATTTACGACATTTATCAAATTAAAAATTGTGAAAAATGCACCGCGTCTGTGGATCATTTGAGTACCATTTGTTGGCGGGCTAATTTTTCCGCTGTTGTCAGAAACGAGAATAATACAATATTTTAATTTTAATAAGATAATTTTGACGTTTTAACGCGGTGTACCTGTTCGAGAGATAACAACTGTGCTAAATTTGTGTAACGTTTACCGAATTAGCGCGGCAAAATTTAGTTCCGCGGTGGAATTTCGTCACGTATTTTCGTCTTAAAATTTTGGATAATTTGATCACGTGTGTTGATAATTTGGATCGGTTTAAAAGAATCTGTTCCACCTGCGCGCCACCATCATGAAAACCGATGGCCTCCAGGTCTAACAACTTAGCATTTTTTATCCGGCCACAGACAAAAACCACTAACTAAACGACCAAAACCACAAAACTATTTTTAGATTAAAATAATAAGGGCATATTTACATTTTTCTGCAGGACATCCATGTCGAATCGTTTCGCACTATTCTTTAAAATCGGTCAAATAAGAATTTTTTACACCTAGAAAAGAATTCAGATGCAATGAGTAAAGAAGCCATTAGCAATGAAAACAGTGGTAATCCGACGACGAAGAAGGCGACTACACGAAGACACAGCACAGCACTGAGGAGCACTAGTGATCTTTACAACTGCCATAAACTCACATAATTACGACTCTCGAGTCCGTAATAACACACTTTTATCGAATTTAATTCGACGGGTGGCACACACTCCCGCACCAAGTCGCCGCCACTGGCGCGAGCGGCCGCTTCCGTCGGAAGGAGACTTCTTCGGCGCGACGCTGGCTCGAGGGGAAGCGATAATATTTTTATTAAAACGCCATAAAGGGGCTGCAAAGCGACTCGCGATTGATCGGATCGCCGGATGCTGATAATTTGAGTTTTTTGGGCCGGATTTTAGTGGCTCTAAAGCAGGAACTTGTTGGAATGGTTGTCGTCGTAAAGTTTCATGGAGTAGTAAAGAGGACCGTGTGTTATGGGGGCGTTTTTTGCGCGCTTGCGACGACTCTCTTCGCGGCAGTAAAGTTTTATCGTTGGTACTTCTGATCCGGATTTGGGCCGCGGCCGACGGGCTTTTTCGCGCCCATTCCGCCGCTTCATGAATATGGATCCGGACGGCGCAAATCGTCTAATTGCGATTCAAATTTCGAGTACGCGCCGATTAATTATTAGATACGGGCGAATTTAATTATTACGGGCCTGAAGGGGGGCGGCCGCTGCATTCTTCGCTGCATTCCACGATGATAATCCAAAAGTGCTTTTTGTGAGTGGTATTTACGGTGTGTAATCAGGTAAGGTATCTGCCCGTGGCCCGGCCAAAGTGCCTATTCATCGGTTTTAAGAGAAATTAAAAGTATTCGTTGAAAGGCCACTGCTAAACCGTAATTACAAGAAACGCATCACTCCCGATCTTTAATTGCGACCATTGACTAATCAAACCTCCATTATGACGGCACTGCCATTAGGTCCGCTCTTCGGATTAATTCAAAATCACCCATTCAGATAAAAAACAAGTCGGTCTGCCCGATTTTTTTCCCTCCCAACAAACACGCTCGTTCGAATCGGACGCATAAATTTCCTTCATTTGAATTTTAATTATTGTGAATGCATAATCATATTTAACAATGATTTGTTTTTTAAATAATTATCCCTATATTTTATACACTTTATTGCCGGGTATCATAACAAAATAAATGATTTTTATGTGCCAATAACGTTTTTCGTTTTATTTTGCCATGAAAATTTTTATTAGCTGCGAAAAACACGACGCTTCACCGTTAAGGAGGTTATTAAATTAAGCTCTCGATCTAATTTATAACGCGCTTTTCTATAAAACCATTCAAATTAGACCACACAAACGCCCTAACACTGTTTACCTACGCGACGATTCACCAAATTAAATAAAACGAAAACTCCGAATAATTTAAGCGAGCGTGCGAACTTCCCACCGAAGGGTGCACCAAATCCCGGCCTTATATTTTTCTATTTTCCCGCTTTTCCGCCTTCCGCTTACGCCCTCGACGACCCGCAATCATTCCGCATAAAACGCACTTTTATCTGATTTCGGAACATTCGACTTCGGCCTTCTTTTCGCGATTTACTCCCATTTCTCAAAACCACAACAAATAAAACCATGACTTCTCCATAATTCATCAATCGACGGATCCCACAAAATTTTTACACACCACTGCCCGACCAACGAGGCATATTTACACTAAATACAACAAAATTACTGCGAGTTTCAATCAGTTTCTGCCACCATTTCCAAGGCAGTTTACCATTTTTACTACCAAAGTACTATTTTGGTTTCAAACTAAATTATTAGAACTGCAAAGGACATCGCTATTCCACATTTAAAGTTAACCTAGAGACAAAGGGCGAAGTCCATTTATGAAGTGCGATATGACACAGGTACTTCGTGGAATTTTTTATAAACACTCTACAATATTTTTAACCAAATTAAACTAGATTGATATTTAGCAATTTTTTAGCTTCAAGGAATATGTTTCAGATTTTAGAACACTTTTTTGCTTTCTTTTCGAGGGAGTAGCAACTCAATATAATCCAAACGTGTTACCTTAACTTTTTTGAAAAATTAAATCAAATCTTGAAGGGGTCCAGATGCAATTTGGTTTTCACAAAGAAGTAGTTTATTTCCATTGATACTATTCACTATTTTGTAAAAATAGTACTAGACTACCTATAGTTAGACCTTCATAAATAACCAAAGTTAATCAGCCTTCTAGTCGCTACTTACATGGTGGTAAGTTGCCAAGTACTCCAAGTGTTTTTGAAAACGCATAAATCCAAAAAAATTTGGCTAAATATTTTATTATTTTTTTATGGGTCGTCGAAAAATTATTGACCAAGTCTGTGAGCGGAAAATGTTGTTATAGTATTTTATTACAGCAAAATAATTTTAACAAGGATTTTAATTTATGTGCCCCACTTTGAATAAAATAAAAACCATATATAAAATCCAAAACATCGTTATTTACAAACTGTGGACTGTGTTGAAAGTGTCCGAAGTACCGTTGCTCACAAAAAAAGATGTACATTTTTATGGGCTTTTTCCCATGATATAAAAAAAGTCGCATTAGCACAATTTTACAAGAGTAATTAATCTCCCATAATAATTTACAGCTTTAAAAGAATGTGAACTCTGATTAGTATTTTATTACTTGGTAGTTTTTTATTATATTTTTCAGGCTTTTTATTAAAACTATAAAAGATTCAATTGCCTACAATTTCTCAAAATAATCTCCAATGTTTTAAAGTTTGAATTCCTCGCAGAAATATAGAAGTCATTCTAAAATTCAAAGTTGCAACAACCTCATGTTTAAACTTCACCGTTACTGATTCTTTTTCACCAAGTATTTTTACTATTATCTCTAAAAACTGTTTTGGTTTTTATTCGTTCTGTACCCATGCACAAATTCCAGTCCAGTGGTTTAAAAACTTTTTCCATCCCCACGTCCGCAAAACCGTCGCGTTGCTGGCCACCCCCGTCGCCTCATCCACGATCAACAAGATATAGAACTCATCCCAGATGACTGACTTCCCGCCAACTCAACCGCCACTAATAATTCAAGTATAGCTTCACTCTAGGTCCGCAATTTCGCCCCTCGGCCTTGCTAATTACACACCCATCATTAATTACCGCATAAGATACATAGTTGCAAACAATTTGGCGGCAAAACCGCTTCGGAAGCATCGATTCGGCCCGTGATTTCGCCTCGCGTCGCATGCAATATCTCCGCTGTCCGCTGCCCGGCCGCGTTCCGCTGCGATCACGTGCACCGGCCGTCGGACGGTCGCGTCCGCGTTCGTGCCGCTGCGTCAGTGGCGTCTCGCGCGCTCGGTCTGTGGGGTTCGCGTGGTCGCCTTCTCCGTGGTGGAGGCCGTACCCGTGGCTGAGCCATGAACTGCACCGGGTGGTCGCACCTTAGCACCGTTCAGAGTCACTTGAGGCGCGCACTTTAACACACTCACTGCGGTTCACTGCACTGTCGTGTACACTGGGCCGGTGGTGGGTGCTGGGGGCCCCCTCGGGCATGGGGTCGGTGGATGGGGTCTCAGATCTCTCGGTGGTGATGGTGCGCCGAGCTGCCGTGTCCGAAGCGCGTGCGGAGATCCTGCGCGGTCCGCAGTCGTCTGCCAACTGTCAATCACGCCGAACGAAGGGGGCAGAGTGGGGCTCAGATGAATGATCTGTCAGGGCAGGGACACGCCTCTCGCCCAATGGCGGACGGTACGAGCGCGCGCGCGCCGTCTCACGGACGACTTCGGCACTAGCGACCCCGAACCGAGCCAGCGTTGCCAAGGCGCCCCGCTGCCCCTCACGACTAGGAGATCGACGGACATGCTATACATACGATGCACCCGGATTACAAACATAACCTAAAAATGAAGATTAGGCGCGGTGATAGTGTATAGGTGGATTTGGAATATCGGGCGGATTGGATGTTTCTATTAACGGGCGAGTGCTGTAATTGAAGTTTTTACTTACTTGGTATGTTTGGGGTGAATTTCAGTTCCTGGAGAGTAAACGAGCGGCTCAAAGTTTTAATTAGCGAAAGTATAAATGAGAAAAAATTGACGTCTTATTTTTTTCTACCTGTAGACTGTATATGTTGGCAAAAACTCTAGTAACCCTCACAACTGCGAAAAGATAAGTATGTACCCGGATTGTGATATAACCTAAAGGTTTTGATTATACTACTTCTCGAGATATGTGCGGTCGACTAGTAAGTACCTATTCTGATTCAGAATATTTTATAAATTAAAAGAGCATTGGTTTTGTCTTGCAAACCGATTTTTCTTATTCCTAGAGTGAAATTCAGTCTGAAAATTCTAGCTATCGATTAGAGAGTTTTAATTGGCGGAAACATAACTTGCAGAAATTAGTCAACTCTGAATCCTACTTTTCATAGACTTATCAACAAGATTTTTACTTTATGTTTACATAATAATAAGATTAATCGTAATAATGATTACTTTTATTTTTATTACGTGAACTAGTTTCATAGAAAATAAAAATATTAAACTACTATTTTCATGACTTAACTTATACATAATCATCTGGTAGGTACATGAAATATTACATTGCTGTGAACATTATTCTCTCAGACTGTTTTTAGATCATATGTATTCACAACATCGTATGCATATGGTATACAAGGTCTATTTAGACAAGCTGACATTATAAATTTTAAGCTCCTCTATTTCTTTTTTAAATTCATCGAGAAAGATAGATATCTATTATTTGTTACCTCTACATACATGCCATAGATATGGTGCACCTGGATTACAAACATAACCTAAAATTCAGATTAGACGCGCTGATTTGCGATATTGTCTGAAATGGATGTGTTAATTATGAAGGAACTTTAGCTCCAAAAGATATAAATTTTAATAGGCAAAAGTAGAAGTGGCAGAAAATGGTCAAATTTTAATTTTGCTGTACATTTAGACCATATGTCGTAAAAAAACTGTGGTAATTCCCACAAGTGCGAATTTTTGGTTATTCCTAAAGTGAAATTTAGTATGACAAAGTTTTAATTGGCGAAGGATACATTATAGAAATTAGCCAACTCTAAATCCGACTTTTCATAAATTCTCCAACAAGAATCTTATTTTATGTTTACATAATAATGAGAGTAATAAAATAATAAATAATTTTTATTTTGTTATGTGAACTCATTTTACATAGAATAAAAATATTGAACCGTATAATTTTCGTAACTTAACTTTTGTTTTTTGATCATATGCATTCTCATCATCGTATAGGTATGGTATACACTATACAGGGTCTATGTAGATAAGCTGACATAAATTTTAAACCCATCAAGAAGAATGGGTCTTACTTTTAGAATGAGAAGTAAATTAAAAAAATTAAAACACCTTTAAAAGTAAAACAATTACAAAGAAAATTTGTGCAGTTGAGGCAAATTATAACGCATTTTCCAGCAAGATGATTAAACTCCTCGTCAGTCGTTCTAGCACTAAAAGTGAATCTTGCATTATAGATAATCAGCATTTGTTACTCCTACGGGTAAATTGAAACTGAACAGTGGGTATAAAGCTTATCAGTAGTACAAATTTGACTCTTTACGTTTGTCAGTTTGATGTTTGTTCGACAATGGGTTTAGTGAATAGAATAGTAGATACAGTTTTAAATACGACAGTGAAAAACGATTGGTAATAAAAAGAGTCGCCATAAAAATAACATTCTGTCAAATTTATCACATACCACAGGTAAATCGCTTCTTGTTACATAATGTTTTTAGTTGTTTTTTGGACAATGTGTATCATGGTACTGTCTAAAGATGTAACTATTTGTTTTATTTACATTACATAATTTGAAAATTTTAAAGTCCTTGTAAGTACCTAGATCTTACAAATAATTTGTTGCTAAGTTACTGATGTTATTTATGGTATATATGGCAGCTACTGAGGTGTTGGGTGTGTACGTCGTGTTGGTTTGTGAATTACATAAACTAAACTATTAATTTTTTCTATTGCAAAATTCTTAGTAATTTAAGTACAAAGATTTAACAAATATCTCTCTCATGCAGATGTTGCCACAATATTAGCTAACTTCCCCAGGTATAAAGTTTACCTCATTTTCTTTCAGAAATGACTTTCGATGTTTTTAAACTTGTGGTCAATTATTTCCAAAAATGTCACCAAGTTTTCAAAAAACTTACAGCATCTGGATGAACTAATTAAAGATTTAAATTGTGGATAATTAATTATCATGTTTTGTACTATAATCCGAAATTTGCCTACACATGATCCTGATCAATATAAACTGGATCATAAACTTCGTGATTAAATAGGTGACTCTAAAATAGGGTGACGTGTATCCTGTTAATTTTAGAGTAGAAATAATTTAATGAATTTCCATAAAAACACATTTGTACTTAAATTATGAGCTGAATTATCAAAATATCCACTTATCGAAAGAGTGCTTTTAATGCTTGTACTTAAAGCAACTTTTTCAATTGTAGTACATATGTATTTACTCGTATTCAGGTTTTGTAATTAGCTAATGCCAGTTTTCTAAAAAAATATATAATTATATGCTTTTTGCATACGGTTAATAGTAATAATTAAGCCTTTATTTATGTATTACAGACATAGAAAACAATAAATACTAATACAAATCAAGCTCAAATTGATCAAAATATCATCATGTGAAGTAGGGTCGAAAAAAGTCAAAAAATTTACTAATTTCTAATTAGCTGTCACACTTTAATGTCTTGAAGACATGTGAATTAAATTAAAGTTAAAAATCAAAACACGGCCAATGTGAAAGCAGTGATAAAAATAATATCACCCCACATTGATTTGCGTTGTGGGCAGTCGTGAGCTTAATATTTGCTCTAGTCTGCGTTTGTGGCACTTAAAGAAACAACTAATCTATTTTCGTGATTATATATAATTCTGTGGTCAGCTTGACGTTCAGAACTTCAGAGAAGATGCCGCCCACTTATAAAAACTAAAAGTTTCCAGCATTCTCAATATTCAAAATGTATCAGTTTAATTTCACTTTTGTGAAATTTCTACATAATTTTCATGGCAAATTTTTTATTGATTAAAATTTCGCACGTCTTTTAACCTAGCTATTTTCAAAATTCATAAGATCATTAACAAATACATCCAATAAATCAAAAACTATGTTTATTTGTAAATTCCGAAATGCACAATTAAGGATACAATTTGCATTTAAAAGAGCAATAGCTGTCCAAATTTTTTAGGTTTTAATCGGTTTATAAGACTTTAAGTAGTTTAGTTTCAATGAGAGTTATGTGCTTGTTGTGAGGGCGCCACGAGTTGGTACGTTTTTTCGCTGGCGATAATATTTCACGTTATATTACCATACATAACCTTATCACTAGTTTTTCTAAAAAACTACGTTAAATGATCGTTACGAACAGACGCAAAACACATTCATTATATTGTCATTAGGTAGAAGAATTTACTGCAGACTGAGTTATCTATATCGAATTATGCGTACGTGCTTATCGTAACTTGAAGTTTATTTATAAGGCCATATTTATTTGTATTCGGTTAATTAAGAGGGTCTTTGCAGTGCGAAAACGTAAACAAAATTATTAAAATGAAGAATTGTGTATTTAGTAAATAAGAACATATATAACAAGAAAATAAACAAATAAATATGCCACATTCGTATTGTTAAATAAAAGGAATGAAATAGTAGCCGCGTTGTTCTTCGACTTTTTATTTCCTTTTAACAAAGAGTTACCCCCAAAGCATTAATTAATTTACACATTTATAACGCGATTATTTCCAACCTTATTACTTCTTTGACGTTGTAAAACGAAAGGTTAATGCTGCATTTGATTATGTATTTTTAAAACTATGTTAATCCTGAATAATCTAAAAAATTAAATATGTATCAGACTTCTTACGACCTAAAGCCTGTGTCTGTGCGGACACAATAAATGTCAGCTGGTATAAAGGATGGTTATAATATGGATATAGGTTAGCACTACCTGTACCTTTTTGCAATTATTAATTTTAAAAATATACGTCTTCTGGTTTTTTAACCCCTTCAAATCGGCGGCTCAATTGATACAACAATACAAATTAGCTACAAGTTTTTTGTTTAACCTAGTTGCCCTTGTGGATGTAAATTATAAACACTAATATTGAGTTAAGGCATCAGCACCGCTCCAAGCGAATGAGTTCATGTGGGCTGGCTTTTTACAATTTTATGGTTCGTTTTGGAAACACAGCCTGAAATTAAACCAATTATAGCCTGAGTAAATAATCTTGAATAGGCTAACGAACAGACTTCCATTACCGTGGGCCGATTGTTTGCCGAATTGTTATGTTATCTTTTATTACAATAGGCGGAGCTTTGATAACTGCAACTGCTATAATGTTCTTAGTCGGATTAATCCCGACATTAATGAATATTTATCAAAAAAATGTTTAATAGTATAGAGTAATAAAATTTAAGTAATTAATAGATCTAATCTCGGACATAAAAACCTTGAAATTTTATTAACACACCAGGAAGACGAGTTCGCTCTGAAGGAGCGACGTGCGACCAAGTGTCTACTTATTAGTCAGAAAAAAGTGTATTTTTCAAAATAAATAGGTACAAGTGTGCCACTAAATTTATTAATTTGTTAGTATTTCAAGA